ATATGAAAATATAATTGAGTTTAGTATTTTTCAAAGTGTCAGAAATGAATAATAAAACTGCTATTTTCAATGACTACTTATTTTTGTCCAGCTTTAACATCGGTATCGATATCGGTTATCGGCTACATGAGTTTTAAAATATCGGATATCGGCCAAAATCCCAATATCGTGCATCACTAATAATTCTCGTGGTTATTTTTTTTATTTACCAAATGTTAATTTAGTAAAAGTATCTCTGCTTAGATTAACAGATAAATAAAAGAATAGGTTCAGCCCTACTGCTACACTCCATCTTATCACTGACTGTTTTAACAAATTTCTAACAAATCTTAATTTTTAATCAGCTCAGTTTGGCAACTTTAAGGCAAAAATCTCTACAGATATTTTCTTTAGCGGTTTATCTCCGCGTTAAAGGTGTCGTCCTTTTCAGCGCCGCATTGTTTTGTTTTTAATTTAACCCTGTTGGTCTCTGCAGGCTCACCCTCTGAGGTCAAAGGTCAGGGCTCGGCGCCGGCTGAGCCTCAGAGTCCCATCAACCTCCTGGAGGACGAGCCGCGCTGCTGGGACGAGGCGCCGCTGTCCACGGCGGAATCCTGGCAGGACTCTCTGGCCAAACGCTGCGTCTGCGTCTCCAACATCGTCCGTAACCTCTCCTTCGTCCCCGGCAACGACGCCGTGCTGTCGCGCCACCCGGGCCTGGTGCTGATCCTGGGCCGGCTGGTGCTGCTGCACCACCGTCACCCCCGGAGGAAAAGGGCGCCCCCTACGTACCAGCGGGAGGAGGAGCAGGGTCTGGCCTGCAGCCGGGACGAGTGGTGGTGGGACTGCCTGGCGGCGCTGAGGGAGAACACGCTGGTGACGTTAGCTAACATGTCGGGCCAGCTGGACCTGTCCCAGTACCCGGAGGACATCATCCTGCCCATCCTGGACGGGCTGCTGCACTGGATGGTGTGTCCGTCCGCCGAGGCTCAGGACCCGTTCTCCTCGGCGGGCGCCGCCCCGTCGCTCTCGCCTCAGAGGCTCGTCCTGGAATGCCTTTGCAAGCTGAGCATCAAGGACTGCAACGTGGACCTGCTGCTGGCCACGCCCCCCTTCAGCCGCCAGCAGAAACTCTTCTCCACGCTGGTGAGACTGGTCGGTGAGAGGAGGAGTCAGGTGTGCCGGGAGATGGCGGTGGCGGTGCTGTCCTACCTGGCTCAGGGCGACGCCACGGCGGCGCGGGCCGTCGCCCTGCAGAAGGGCAGCGTGGAAACCCTGATCGGCTTCCTGGAGGACAGCCTGGCCGTGGCTCAGTACCAGCAGAACCCGCACAGCCTGGCGCACGCCGCCGCGCCTTCAGAGCCGCCCAGCATCAACATGATGTGCCGCGCCGCAAAGGCGCTCCTGGCCGTGGCGAGCGTGGAGGAGAACCAGGCGGAGTTTGTTTTGTACGAGAGCCGGCTTCTGGACATCTCGCTGTCATCGGCGCTCAACCCGTCGGTGGCGGCCATCATGTGCGAAGTACTGTTCAAACTCAGCCGCTCGTGACGCACAGAACGCCACGGAGCGCGCTGAGAAGCACCGGAGGCGGCGCCCGCCGTCTGACGGACCACCACACCTTCTATTTTTATTTAAAGAGCAGAAGTTTTTACGTACAAATATATAGAATATATCTAAAGCTCCCGGCTCCATCCACAGATGTTTATTTCAGGTTTTTAAGTAATTTTAATACCAGAAAATATTTAATAATTTTAAATTTTTTTAAATTGTTTTTATTTTTGTTTGTTTTGTTTGAACCAAAGTGAGCCGGGCCCTCTGGTTCCGGCTCTTTTTTTTAAAAAGTGCGTTCGGTCCGTTGTTTGCTCTGTGGGGGCGGGGTTTGTTAGATGCAGGGGGCGGGGTCAGAGGCTGTAAATAAACATCATTTTTTTAACGTTCTGACGGAGGAAACGCTGATGTTCAGTCGTGTTCTTTGTTCTGGTGCAATAAGGTTTTGTTTTTTTCGGGGCCGTTTTTTTAATGTGAATTTTTAACCTTCTGCAATTCGACCACCAGTGTTTGACCTTCGCTCCACCGCCGCCGTCCCAGAAGGGGGCGGGGCTTCATCCCATTCTGTTCCTGAGGACTTTTTAATTCTGATCAATCTTTTAAGTCCGACATCCTCCTGTAAATAAACGATGTACATTTGAGCTCCGGCTGACGGCGCCGGTCGCAGCGCCTGATTATGATGATGACTGTGGTGCGTTTGATTCAACGGACTGCGTGTACAGACTGTAGGGGGTCGCTTCGTAAAACGGTTGTAAACAAATGTAAAGAGAGAAAAAAAGACATTGTTTCTTCAGTATGAGATCTTTATATGTTCCACCACGTTAAAGAATAAATGTACATGAACTCTGGTTGAGCACTGTGACACAGACCAGCATCTTCTCTTTAAGCTCCTCCCACTGCAGGTCCACCGTCTGGATCTGGATGGCAGAGTGTTAAATATGTCAGCTTC